CTGAGTTCGGGGGGCCTGAATTACGAGAAAATCTCGAGCGAGAGCGCCACTCTTGAGTTCGGGGGCCTCTCTGGCAAGGGGCTCTGCGAACACATCTTGAGGAAGTATCGAACGGGAGCCCTTGTCGTCGCATTTTGGCCTCCACCAACCTGACAGAATCATGAGAAAGTCTCGAGCGAGAGCGCCGTTCCTGAGTTCGGGGCCTTCCTGGCCAGGGGCTCTCGGAGTAAATCGTGAGGAACTATTAATTAAGCAGGAGCCCTTGTCGTCGTGGCTGGGCCCCCCGCCAACTTGACTGAATCGCGAGGAAGTATCGAACGAAAACGCCGTTCCTGAGTTCGGGGGCCTCTCTGGCCAGGGTGTCTCAGGGAAAATTGTAAGGAAGTATCGAACAGGAGCCGTTGTCGTCGTAGCTGGGCCTCCGATGGCCCACTTTTAAACTCAAGCCAACGCTCGCGCGGGAGCCTCGTTTTCAGAGAAAGCGCCCGGAACCGTTTCCGGAGATCAGCAAACATTTTTTTCGAAATAAGCAATCAACAACAACACCACCAACAACAACACTAATAACAACTATAACTACTACTGCTACTATCACTACTACTACTACTACTACTACTACTACTACTACTACTACTACTACTACTACGACTACGACTACGACTACGACTACGACTACGACTACGACTACTACTACTACTACTACTACTACTACTACTACTACTACTTCTACTTCTACTACGACCACTACGGCTACAACGAACACTACTAGGACTACTACTACGACTACGACTACGACTACAAAAACCTTCTACTTCTGCGACTTATACTAAGACAACTTTTTCCTATACTACTACTACTAGTACTACTACTACTACTACTACTACTACTACTACTACTACTACTACTACTACGACTACTACTGCTACTACTACTACTACTACTACTACTACTACTATTACTACCACTACGACTACTACTATTACTACTGCGACTCCTACTACTACCACTACTACTACTCCTACTACAACTCCTACTCCTACTACCACTACTACTACAACGACTACTACTACTACGACTACGACTACGACTACGACTACGACTACTACTACTACTACTACTACTACGACTACGACTGCAACTATGACTACAACTACGACTCCTACGACTATTACTACTACTACTACTACTGCTACTACTCCTCGTCCTCCTACTACTACTACTACTATTACTACTATTACTACTACTGGTACTACTGATACTACTAGGACTACTACTACTACTACTACTACTACTACTACTACTACTACTACGACTACGACTACGACTACGACTACGACGACTACTACTGCTACTACTACAACTACTAGTACTACGAACTACTACTGCTACTACTACTGCCACTACTACGGCGACGACTGCTACTACTCACCACTCTTACTACTACTCATACTACTACTACTACTACTACTACTACTACTGCTGCTGCTACTACTACTACTACTACTACTACTACTAGAGCTACTACTACTGCTGCTGCTGCTGCTGCAGCTGTTGCTAGTATCACTACTACTACTACTCCTACTGTTACAACAACAACAACAACTACTACTACTACTACTACTAGAGCTACTGCGACTCCTACTACTACTACTACTACTACTACGACGACTGCTACTATCACAACTACTACTACTACTACTGCTGCTGCTGCTGTTACTACCTACTTGTACAACAACAAGGTTAAGGCCGGCATGGCCCCCCCGGGGTGCGGGAGCGGATCCGCCGGTTCCACCACAGTGGAAAAGGCCGGCACTGCCCCCCCGGTCAGTCCGAAGGGGGGGGGGGGGGGGCGAACAACACAACACAACATCCTAGGGCATCCTTAGGGAATCCTTAGGGAATCCCTAGGGAATCCTAGGGAATCCTTAGGGAATCCTTAGGGGACCCCTAGGGAATCCTAGGGAATCTTTAGGGAATCCTTAGGGAATCCTTAGGGAATCCTGAGGGAATCCTTAAAAATCCTCTGAAATCCGTAGGGGGTCCTTAGGGAATCCTTCAGAATCCCTAGGGATTCCTGAAGGAATCCTTCAGAATCCCTAAGGACTCCTGAGGGAATCCTTCAGATTCCCTAGGGGTTCCTTAGGCAATCCTTGAGAATCCCTTGGGCATCCTTCAGGAATCCTTAAGAATCCCTGGGGAGTCCCTAGGGAATCCTTAAGAATCCCTAGGGAATCCTTAGGGAATCCTTCAGAATCCTTGGGGAATCCCTACTGAATCCTTAAGAATCCATACGAAGTCCTCCGGGAATCCTCAAGAATCCTTACAGAATCCTTCAGAACCCCTAGGGGATCCTTAAGACTCGCTGGGGAATCCCTAGGGACTCCTTAAGCATCCCTTAGGAAGCCTTAAGAATCCCTAAGGAATCCTTCAAGATCCCAAATGGAATTCCGAAGGAACCCTTCAGACTCCCTAAGAAATTCTAAAGAATCCTTAGGGAATCCCTCGGGGATCCTTCAGAATCCTCAAGAGATCCTTACGAATCCCTAAGGAATCCTTGAAACTCCCTAAGGAGTCCCTAGGGAATCCTTAAGAATCCTTAAGGAAGCCGTTGGGAATCCTGACGGAATCCTTACGGAATCCTTAAGGAATCACCAAGAATCCCTAAGGGATCCTCCTGGAATCCTCCGGGAACCCTTCAGAATCCGTAATGAATCCCTCGGGAATCCTTAAGAACCCCTAGGGCATCCTTCAGAATCCCTAAGGAATCCTCAGGGCATCCTTAAGAAGCCCTAGGGACAGGGAATCCTTGGGAATCCTGAAGAATCATAAGGAATCCTCAAGGAACCCTCAGGGAACCCTCAAGAATCCTTCGGGGATCCTGAAGGAATCCTCAAGGAATCCTCAAGGAATCCTTGAGAATCCCTGGGGAATCCTTAGGGAATCCTTAGGGAATCTTTCGGAATCTTTCGGGAATCCTTGAGAATCCTTCACGAATCCTTAAGAAACCATAGGGAAACCTCAAGGAATCCTTCGGGAACCCAAGGAATCCTTAAGAGTCCCTAGGAAATCCTTGAGGAATCTTTCAGAATCCTCCAGGGAATCCAAAAAAAGAATCCGTAGGGAATCCTCTAGGAAGCCTTAAGCATCCCTGAGGAATCCTTTGGGGATCCTCAGGGAATCCCTTAGATTCCCGAGTGAATCTTTAAGAATCCTCACGGTATCCTTAGGGAAACCTGAAGGACCCCTGAGATATCCTTATGGAACCCTCAAGATCCCCTAGGTATCCTTGGGGACTGCCTAACACCCCCTAAGGTATCATTTGGGATCCCTTCAACATTCCGAAGGGGATCCCTAAGAATCCTCATGGAACCCTTAAGAATCCCTAAGGTATCTGTAGTATGGGTATGAGTTGTGGTACTCGACATAGTAATGGAGGTGTAGCAGTACTAGTAGTAGTAGTAGTAGTAGTAGTAGTAGTAGTAGTAGTAGTAGTAGTAGTAGTAGCCGTCGTGGTACACATGATAAGAATGAAGAGGATGGCGGGGGGGACGAGGAGGATCGGGAGGAGGAGGACGACGACGACGAGGGGGAGGAGGAGGACGAGGAAGAAGACGACCAGAAGGTGGAGGACGAAGAAGAAGGAGGAGGAGGAGGAGGAGGAAGAGGGCAAGGAGGAAGGGGAGGAGGATGATGACGAGGGCGAGGAGGATGGGGGGGGAGGGGGGGCAGAGGAGGACGGAGGAGAAGGAGGACGAGGAGGACGGGGAGGAGGAGGGGGACGAAGATGATGAGGAGGAGAGGGAGGAAGAAGAGGGGGGGGAAGGAGGAGGACACACGCAAACCCCCTATAGGGTTGCGTTGTGTTGTGTTGTGTTGTTCGCCCCCCCCCCCCCATCTCCCCCCGGGGGGGGCCTGCCCCGCCTGTATCAACAACAACAACTACTACCACTACTACTACTACTACTACTACTACTACTACTACTACTACTACTACTACTACTACGATTGCGACTACTACTACTACTACTACTTCTACTCCTGCTGCTACTACTACTACTACTATTACTACTACGACTACTACGACTACGACTACTACGACTGCAACTACTACCAGCGCTACTACTACTTCTACGACGACGACTACTACTACTACTACTACTACTACCACTACTACTTCTGCTACTACTACTCCTACTACGACTACTACTACTACTGCTACTACTACTACTACTACTACTACTACTACTACTACTACGACTTCTACTTCTGCGACGACTACTACTACTACTACCACTACTACTACTACGACGGCGACGACGACGACGACAACTACTACGACTACGACTACGACTACGACTACTACTACTACTACTACTGCTACTACTACTACTACTTCTTCTACTACTACTACTACTACTACTACTACTACTACTACTACTATGAATACCAGTATTACTATTACTGATATTTCTGCGACTACTACGAATGCTACGGCGACTACGACTACTACTACTAATTCCACTACTACTACTACTACTACTGCTACTACTACTACTACTGCTACTACTACTGCTACTACTACTACTACGATTACTACGACTACGACTACAACTACGACCCCTACGACTACTCCTACGACTACTCCTACTACTCCTACTACTACTACTACTACTACTACTACTACTACTACTACTACCACTAGTACTACTACTACTACTACTACTACTACCCCTTCCTACTACTAGTACTACTACTACTACTACTACTACTGCTGCTACTACTACTACTATTACTACTACTACTACTACTACTACTACTCCTACTACTACTGCTACTACTATGATCATGCCCAACACAACCACTGCAACAGCATTGACAACAACAACCACACCAACACCACAACCATCACCACCACGACAACCACCACCACCACCACCAACAGCATCAACCACAACGGCAACAACATTACTCACAAGACCAACAACGAACAAACACGGGGCCTGTCGGCGCCGCCTCGCTGGCCGCGCCCGCCGCAGCGGCGGCCTCAGCGACCAGCGCTCGGGCGCCGTGCGTGGGCAGTTCGCTCTCCTCGGGCGGCGCGCCCTGCGATTCCGCGGCGGCGCCGAAGACCGCCAGGCGGATGGAGTCCCAGGCCGCGTCGAGCCTGCTCCTGCCCCGCTCTCAGACCCCGCGGGACTTACAAGAATCACGGCGGGAGGTTTCAGGTAACTTCTGGAGCGCATTATCGATCCCCCCTCGTTATCCGCATTACCAAAGCATGACACATGGATTCCCCAGAGGGGGGGGCCGAAGGATATCGTAAGCACCCTCATTCAATAATTCCCGGGGGGAAGGGACGACTTGTCACGAACTTTCTGTTTTTTCGGGGGCCTGCAGGAATCCGTCGGGAATCACTTTGGAATCCTATAATATTTCAAAAACCTAGAAATCGAGACGAGCCTTGGGGAACCTGGAAATATCCTTGCTGAATCGTTCAGAGAACACGAAAACCCTCAGGGACCCAATGAATTCTCAAGGAGTCGGCGGCGAACCTGCAGGGATCCCGGGGAATCCTTCGGGAACCTTATAAGAAACCTCCGGAGTTTTCACGAATCTGTATAGACCCTCACGCACGTCCAAGCAACACGGATTTCGTAGGAATCCCAAGAATCCTTGACAATATTCCCTACCTAGGCTCTGCCTAGAAGGGTTCTTACTCGGAGTGCTTAAAGGGCCGGGCAGTGCAACCCGCCCCGGGCGGTTCCCCCATTATCCGCCCCGCGGTTCCCCGAACTACTTCCCCATAGCTTAGCATTCGCTTATATAATCTTAGCTTGGCTTATTACATCTTAGCTTAGCTTAGGTTCATCTTAGCTCAGATTTGGTTTAGCTAGCTGACCTTCATCTTAGCTTCGCTGAGCTTTAACATAACAGAGCACATCATAGCACAGCATAGCGTAGAATAGCATAGCGCAACACAGCATATCATAGCATAGCCCATCATAGCATAGCATAGCATAGCATAGCATAGTCCAGAACAGCATAGCACAGCGCAGCATAGCATAGCATAGCATAGCGCGGCATAGCATAGCGCAGCATAGCGTAGATTAGTATAGCATAGCATAGCGCAGCATAGCATAGCATAGCATATCATAGCTTAGCATAGCACAATGCAGCATAACATAGCCTAGCCTAGCATAGCTCAGCATAGCTTATCATAGCGCATCATAGCATAGCATAGCATAGCGCAACATATCATACCATATCATAGCATATCGCGACATCGCATATCATAGCATAGCCTAGCATAACATAGCGCAACATAGCATAGCATAGCATAGATGTTGATGCAGGTGTAGGTGTTTATGTGTATATATAGATGTTGATGTTGATGTATCTGTATAATGTGAGTCTCGCTGTTGATGCTGATGTAGATGTAGATGCAGGTGTATATATTATATAGCTGTCGGTGTAGATGTAGATGTTGCTTTCCTAGATGCTCCAACTCCTAGGTAAGGTCGCACTGGGATAATGTCAGAAACCCTCCGGCAACCGTCAAACATCCGCAGGAAACACCGAGATTCCTCCAGGAATCCTTCGGACTCAGCAAACTCGCCACAGCTCTGGGATAATACAAATATGCAAAATACTACATCCTTGCTCGAAATCCCACCCGTACCCTTTTGGTGCATTAGGGATTCCCCCCCAAACGACCCAACGCGGAGCGCTGGCACATGGCATGGGCTCGTGTACCGAAATTGTCAGGCATACTCACCCAAAGCCCTCAAGTCTTCCCCCCACCCCCCACAGGAACCCTCAGGGACCCCTTGAGAGCAAGAGCCTTCAGGACCCCCTTCAGGATTCTTCAACCAGCCCAGCGAGGCTCGGGTGGGCCCGAGCGGTTCAGAACGAAGCGCACAGCCCCCGCGAGGCTCGGGTGGGCCCGAGCGGTTCAGAAGCGCTTTCGGCGGCGCGTTCGCTCAGGCGCGCATGGATACCGCGCGCCGCGCAGACGAGGCGAGGCGCGGCAAAAACAACTCCTCAAAAACCCACGAGAATTCTCCAGGAATCCTCAAAGAACCCGGAAGATATTTTCACTAATCCTAGCGAATCCCGCAGTAATCGGCGGAACACGCGCAGTATCTTTGAAGCGTGTTTCTGTTCTGGGAATCCAACTTGAACCCGCGGGCATGTGCGGGAAGCCACCAAATACCTCCCGGAATCCTCGGGATCTGCCGGAATCCCCAGGAACCTCCAAGAATCCCCAAGGGCCCACCGGGAATCTTCAGGCGCGGCCGCTGCGGGCACGAACGGCACCGCCACCGCCGCCGGACGGCGGGCACGCCCGCGGGGGGAAGCGGAGGAAGACGGCAGACGATGAGGAGAAGAAGGGATGGGAAAGGGGAGGGGGGAAGACTAAAAAATACATCTTCCAGACGGGCCCCAAAACAAACCCCGAAGGAATACTCGTCGGGTTCCCGAAGTTTCCTCGGGGTTCTTCCAAACACCCCAAAAAACTCGAGGTTCCATGGGGAATCCAGACAGGCCCCGAGGAATTCCTATAAGGCCCCCGGAAGATTTCTGAAGGGGCGCCCGCGATGACTCCTGCGGGTCATTTCATATCCCCGTGGATCTGTTTGAAATGTGTTCGCGAAAATCTCGGGGGATTCGCGACCCCCCCCCGTCGTCCGGCGCGCCGCGCGTAGCTTTTAGCGCCCGCGTTTCGACCCCCCCTCCTGGTCGGCAACAGTGGCGAAGGGTGTCGCGTTATACATGATCTGAAACAAGCGCGGCAGGCGCTTCGTTCCCGGGCGGCGCTGGCACAGGAAGATTTCCCCCGCGCGGGGCTAGGCTGCGCGGGCAGCTGCCCAACCGCAATTTTGAGTTCCACAGTTTGGCGACCTGTATCAAACTGGCGCCGCGCTTCGCGCGCCGCGCTTCGCGCGCCGCGCGCAGCTCGCGCCCCGCAGTCGACGCTGCATGTTGTATGCCGCGTCGATTGATTCGCTCAGCTTGCCCCAAGTAAAGTAAACCCCAAAGTTCCGCGCCCGAGAGCACGTCCGATCATCGCCCCAACGCGTTGCGACGATTCGAAGCGCGAGGAGGGCTGGAATGAAAAACGCCAGGCTGGCCCGAGCAGGGAAGAGGGCCCGAGCGCCTCAAGCGCCTCGGGGACGTCAGCCGCGGGCCCCTGGCATCGGCGACAGGGGGTGGAGCGTGCGCGCTCAACCTGCCCGCCACGGGCGACTTGGCTGAAATCCTGCTGAGTCGCACGAGCGCGCCTGTGGCTGGGCATCGCCCACCCCCGCTCGACCCCGACCCGCTGGCGGAAAAAAAGGTCTTGGTTTGATCGGGAACCCCTGCGTTCCGATGATGCTTCGAGGCGAACCTGGCCGTGGCGGCGATGGAACGGCCACGAATCGGTGCCTTTTACCTCACACGGAACGATCGGGCTCACAGGCTGATCCACTTCAGCACCTTGCGCGTTGCGTGGCCCTTGTCCTTCTCGGGGGCCCAGGCTTCGAGAACCGAAAAGCACTGTCTGATCGTCTCTGCCGGCGCGATGTCAGCGGCCCTGGGGAACTCCTCAGCGTGGATCAAAGGCGCAGCACTGGTACCCCCCAGCCACATCATATGTCAATCTTCTCATAGCAGTCGAAACACATGCCCGCGATGATACGATCTCAATCATCTCAAGTCCCTAGGCGCCTTCCAGGAAAGGTCGACCCCCAGCATCAGGGCGACGCTCAGGCCCGCAACAACGGCGCTCACGAGGAGGCGCACCTGGAGACACATCTTGACGGCATGCCTGAAGGCCGGGGTGTCTAGGAGCTTTTGTGTCCGAGGGCACCTCTGCCGAAACTCCCTGGATGTGAAACGGCGCCGGGGACGGGGTGGGGGAGGGGGAAAGAAAAATTCCAGAGGGATTCCTGCAGATTCCAGTGTCCAGAATGATCTCCGAGGAATCCTAAGAATTCCGAAGAAAAACGGAAGAATCCGATGTGGTTCCTGCATTCGCGAAAACTCCAAGACGAATTGCCAGCAGGGAATGGGTCAAGACATCTGGCAGTCGACTTTCTGAACAAAATCATTACGTCGCCGGCGAACTAAGGGGGGAAATTTGATGGACCGGGCCTTCCCAGACGGCTCGGAAGTCCTTGCTATTACGAATGCCCTCGTAATCACGTGGCGAATTCGTCGCGCAGGACGTTTAGGCTTGGTCGAACTACGCGATCTCACACATTTTTTCGCGAATGTGACCTGGCCAGACATGCGAACCGCAGCCGAAAAATCGATGGATGACGGACTCGCGCAGCTGGGCTGTCAACGTTTTGAGGAGGCTGCGGTCCCCCTTCCGCGTGAGGAAGGACCCCGCTTCTTTCAGCCAGGCCGCGGAGGACTGATGGGGGACCCATACATTGTCCGAAAGTTTGTGCTGGCGTGCCAAACGGCCATCCAGGAATGGGAAGGAAGTTGGAGGCGTTAGGTTTGGACGGGGGGGAGCTGGTCATTCAGCATCCCTTCCTGGATCGAGCCGTGGACGTCTCTCTAAGTCTCTACGTAGATGATATCTTGAAGATTATATCAGCGGGACCCTACCAGGGATTGTAAGAGCTTGCTGCCACAAGCGAGGGAGCGAACGCTCTCCTCGACCAGGCCCTAATACAGATAGGCCGCAAGGAAAACATGGACAAGCAAATCATGTTACTTGAAGTGTGGGGAAACCACCGCACGATTTGAACATGCACCGCGTTGTTCTCCCGGCCCCACACAGTGTCCACGCTAGATATTGAGGAGCCCGGATTGGACCCAACTGTAGCTGCGCAATCGAATTCATTCACCGCAAGAAGGCGGTGGCAGCGGCGCTGTATCCATTAGGATCATTGTGGTCCTTGAAGAGAACCCGTGTATAGTAAAACGCACGCTTTTAATAGGTTCTGTACAAAACGCTACCCTGCACGCAAATGAAGCCCATGCTTGCTCCAAACAACAGTATTTTTTAATTCGATAACTTGGTCGTCATGGATGCTAGGAGAGCAATGCGAGGCAAAGCCGACGAGATAATCGAATCAACAACATGCGTTCAACATCGGTCTCTGAGCACGGCACAAGTCCTGGAGCACTGGCGCATGACCCCCGCGAGCCCCGAGATGCGGGTGCGGCGCCTGA